CAAAACAATCTTGAGCAAAAATAACAAAGCTGGAGGCATCACACTGCCTGAGTTCAAAATTTACTTCAAATACATAGTAATTAAAAAACATGTACCACCATAAAAAATTGACCAGTGGAATGAGATCGAGACCCTAGAAATAAACCCAAGCATTTATGTTCAGTTGATTTATAATGGCACTGGGGATTGATCTCAGGGCCTTGTATACATTAAACAAGTATTCTACCACTGAGATGCATCCGCAGTCTAAAGTCAATTGATTCCTGAAAAAAGGTGACAAAACATGCAATGTACAGTGTCTTCAATAAGTGGTTTTGGAAAAGCTGTATATCCATGTGCAGAAAAATAAAATTGGATCAGTTTATGAACTGAAGACCTAAACACAATAGCTAGAACTAAATTTTTTGTAGAAAAAATTGATCCAGACAATAAATTTTTGGATATGACCCGAAAGTGTAAGCAACAAAAGCAAAAAAAAAAAAGGGGGGGGGCTAGGCGCCAATGGCTTATGCCTGTAATCCTAGCTATATTTAAAAAAATGTGATATATATGGACAAAGGAAAGTTATTCCACCATAAAAAGAATGAAATCCTGTCATTTGTAGTAACGTGGTTGGAACTATAGGACGTTAGGTTAAGTGAAATAAACCAAACACAGAAAGGCAAATACCACATGTTCTTTCTCATTTGTGGAAGCTTAAGAAATTGATCACGCAGAAGTAGAGAGGAGAGAGGAAATCAGTAGAGCAAGGGGGTGAAATGGAAGCTATAAAGGGGGTGGATAAGACCAAAATACAGTTGAGGGGAAAGTAGCTTTCATGTAGTAGGGTAACTGATGCATACAACTAATTATGCACTCCAAAATAATTACAAAGGAAATGTTAAGCATCTCAACACACAGAAACCATAAAAGTAGGGAGATGGAAATGCTGTTCACCTTGATTTGATCATTATACATTGTATGCATGAATCAGATTACAATATTGTGCAACATAAATAAGTACAGATATTATACAGTTAATTGAGAAATGAATATTAATTTGAAAAGTGTCACTCACCATGGTCAGCTGCAATTTAGCCCTGGGATGTAATATAGACCCTGTTCAAAAAAAATCATAAAGGTGAAAAAGGCTAGGGGTTAGATAAAGTCAGTCAAAAGTTAGGAAAAGAAAGGCAGGTGGAGATCAGGTGGATGGTGGTTGGAGGCCAGCTCCAGCAAAATGTTAGCGAAGCACCATCTCAATCAATAGCTGAGCATGGGATGCTGTCATCTCAGCTACCCAGACAGCATAAATAGAAGGTGTGGTTCCAGCTGGCCTGGGCAAAAAAATGAGCCCCTAAACAATGAAAGCCAAAAAGGTTGAGGGTATGGCTCAAGTGACAGAGTACCTGCCTAGCAAGTGCAATGTATTGAGTTCAAACCCCTGTACCTCCCTCCTCACCAAAAGGGGGAGGGCAACAAAATCTAACTGAAACAAAAAGAAAGAATATTATTGTCTCATGCTTGTGGTCCCAGGTACTTTGAAGGTAGAGATCAGGAGGATCATAAAAAAGATCAGGCAAAAAATTTAGTGTGATCTCATCTCAACTGGAATAGTGATATATGCTATAATCCTATGAAGGAGGTATAGGTAGAAGAATCAGTCTGAGACCGGCATGGGCAAAAATGTGAGACCCTATCCAAAAAATAACTAAACCAAAAAGATTTGGAAGTGTGGCTCAAGTGACAGAGCACCTGCCTCCCAAGTGCAAGGACCTGAGTTCAAAAATTGCGGAAATTATCAAGACTTTGTTAGAAGTAGTGTTTAAAATATTTTTTCATTATTGTTGTACTGAGGGTACGTTGTGACATTTACCAATGTTCTTATAACATATCATAGTTGAATTTACCCCCTCCATCATTCTCTTTTGTCCCTCCTCCCCCCCATTCCTGGAACAGTTTTAACACATCTCATTTTTCCATTTTCATGCATGAGTACAGGTGTTTTTTTTTTCTTGTTCGTTTTTCTGATACAGGGTCTTATGCTAGCCCAGGTTGACCTGAAGCTGATATGTAGCGTTGAACTTGCAGTCCTACTTCAGCCTCCCAAGTGCTGGGATTACAAGCATATGCCACCATACCCAGTTCAATAAAAGGTAGATTTAAAGATGGAGTTCTATTAAAATTTCTGTCCAACCATGTTCAGGAACCAAGGAGTCCACTGGGTTTGAAATGTGTCCCAGGGGAAGTTGGGAATAGGAAAACCCTCCCACCAATATTCTAAGTGACTTCGTTCCAGAAACTGACTAAGTGTCTTCATCTCTTAAAATACCATTCAACCTTACCACTGCACATCTAGTGAAACAACTCAAATAAGGACTTTTAGAATACCAAGTGCTAACAAGTGCTAACTGGAGGAGGTGGCCTCTCATACACTACTAATGAAAATCTGAAATGGTGCAGCCATGGTAGGAAACAGTTTGGCAGTTCTTGTAAACACACACTTACCATATAATCCAGAAATCCCACTCCTTGATACTGATTAGGAGAAATGAAAGCTTAACATTCATATAAAAATCTGTATGAAAATCTTTGTAAGGGCTTTATTCATGATTTCCCCAAACTAGAAACACCCCAATGTCTGTCAATGATCCAAAGACATCCAGCTGTCCAGTTGTCCATTCTGGACAAAGGACAATTCAGCAATAAAAAGGAACAAGTGACATGCAAGGTGAATGGATCGCAAATGTGTTATGCAGCTGTGTTGTAAATACTAATTCTTAAATTGCTATAACTGCTTAAAATGTATCCATTGGGATTAAATATTAATTTAATATTCACAATATTCATTTTAAAATATTTAAAAATCAATTTTAACAATTGGAAACTTTAAAATGTTTTCCTTTTCCTTGAACTATTTTTTCACATTCACTATCTTACTGTTCATTGTTTACTGGCTAGTTTGCATTTTCACTCTTCTTATCCCACAAACTTTTTATCTAATGGAATTGAATTTGATGCTCAAGAGCCTTTTTATTCAATGCCATTTTCATACTGCTGTGTAATAGAAACATGTGCATAAATTTAAATTCAGCTTCTTCACTTACTGTGGCCACAAGAATCTAGGAGTAAAGATTTTTCTTGTGGGCTGTTTTTTCATTATAAGCGTTATTTAACTAGCACAATGATAAAAAAAAAACCCAAAAAACAAAAAACTAGCACAATGATAATGAACATGGAGACACATTACAGCAATGCATTGATAGAATTTTATTGATAAAATTCTACAGGTACTCACATCCCTAACAGTACGAGAGTGTTCAGAGACAAAAGGAGTTCTGTTCTAGGGGTTTCACTTTGTTCTTTGAACTTCTGATAAATTGTTAACAATCGCATGATGCTCCATAATCAAAAACAAGTTTTAATGATCTAATTTAAATATGAATCAACAACTTAGTCAAACTTTCCTTCAGGTTTTATAAAAGCACAAAGTTAGAAAGCTGGTTCTTACAAAAGGATTTTGCAAGGTAGTTAGAATATTATTCACAAATTACAATGATTATCTTAATTTCTGGAAAGTCAAAGAAGACTTGACCAGCATTTACCTAATGACTAATAATGTCATTAACTATACGTTATTTTTTTATTCAGTTTCTTTACCGAATCCGATATATTCAGCGTCAGAAAGTGTGAGCACTATTCACCTTGATAGACCTTGAATAATACATAGTTTTACGAAATGCTTTTACCTTATTGAAGGCTTTAAGTATATATTTATTATATCAATTATTACTAATATAATTTCTTATGTAAGTTATAAATTTCATGTATATATATATGTTGTTAAGTGTTGATGCCGCAGATTCAACTGACTGGCAAAGACAAATTGGACTCCTTTTCTCCCACAAAAAGACTGACTATACTTTTCAATTCAAATAAATGTGTTATTGTATAACCCTGTGGAATCATCACATTTCTGAATCCTCGGCTAAAGTGCTGAAGGCACAGTGTCTCATTGTGAGTCTGTCACCTGAGTGAAACAAGGTGCTGACTCTTAGTTTTTCTGTTTAGCCTTTTTCCCCTGTGGTTCTGGGGTGCTACACCACAGCCTCCCTTAGTGTTTCTTATCCACACTTTCCTTGCTTTTGCTCCTGTGGAAAGCATGCTCAGAAAAATGGATTTTTGAATTGTCCCTTTGTTTGGAATGGGAAGTTTTCATACTTTAGAGACCAGTGAGCGATAAGGAAGATGTGTTTTTTAAAAAGAAGGAATTCTGGGAAAAAAGTGGAGAAAGGGATAAATTGCCACAAGTCTTTACTGGAGCTCTGGGAAAGACTACTCCAAGATATCTTCATAGCTTTCTCCATGTCTGAAGTTCCACCAATAAGATGCATACAATGGGCTAGCAGGATGGCCCAAGTGGTAGAGCACCTGCCTAGCAAGTTTGAAGCCCTGAGTTCAAATCCCAATACTGTCAAAAAAAAAGATGCATCCGTGCATATTTTGGCATAAGTATGTCCCCTTCTTCACTTTCTATGCCTTTGAAATATGTTCACTCCAAGAATTAATACAATAGGTCATTACTGATTCTTCATATTTTAAAGTAAAACATACATAAGGGTCATGCAGAGACATGTGGAAACTGGGAGTCTGAGTGAATGGAGAAGAATGATTTGTTTTTTGAGTTGTCTGGGGATATCATACAATCTCAAGATTGGGTAATCCCAGAAAGAAAGAAGAGGGGCTTTTTTGTTAATTCGATGTCATCTGGAATCATTTTTGCTTCTGGGGCACCAAGACTGGTAGGATCTGTGTAGACCTTCCAGGAAATCTCATACTATCTGTTTCTTTCATCTGTAGAGCAAAGAAAATGTGCTCACTGGTACCTGTGGTTGCCCCAGTAATGACTGTGAGCAAACAAGCTTGTACCTATTCCAAATAAACCCCTGTGATCATTCAAGTATGGCCTCTTACCCAGCTGCACCCCAGCGGGCAAGGTTCCAGGAAGAACGTAAAGCACCATGATGGAGTATGAGGCATCTGGGGAAATCCTGGAAGGAACGTTCTGGGCCCGCCTTAACTTACCACCTCAGACAAACCCCTTCTCTCTTCTGGCTCTCCATGTTCTCATCTGTGAACTAATGGGATCTGGGGGATCCTCTCGAAGGCTCCCCTGCACACACTGCGCGCCCTCTCTGGATCATGCATAATCCCTGCCCCTTTTCTTCTCCCACACAGGTGCCTTCCTCACCTTCCTGTTCATGGCTCCAGCTTCTGCTTGAGGAGCAGAGCTCTCCTGCTGCTTCTCTCCCTCTCCTTGGAGCAGACTTCTGCATCACATGCCAACAAAATCAAATGTGGGTTCAGAAAAGCTGCAGCCACTCTTTCTTGAGAAGAGCTTTTGGGAAATCAGGAGGACACATTAGATGGACGAGAGTGTTGGTTGGGGCCACCACTGCTGGACTCAGGAATACAGAAAGCTACCCTGGCCACTGTCCTTCCCTCACCTGGTTCCCCCCAGATTACTTCCCTATTTTACCCCAAAGTATGGGTTTAATTTTTTTAAATTTATGAGTCACTAGGCATGAGCCTGAAAGGAGAGGATCAGTGAGGAGGTTGTTGGAGTCATTGAGGTGAGAGATGGGATGATTTCATAACCTCAAGGTTTCCCTTTCAGGGTTGATTGGATTTGAACTGATGGCCTTGTGCTGCTAGTCAGGCACTCTACCACTTAAGTCATATCCTCAGCCTTCCAACTTTTCCATTTCTATGACTCTTGACCCCTTTCAGGTGACACTATTTGAGTTGCTTAACTTCTCCTGTGCCCAAATCTTGTGCAGTAGTTCACAAGCAGTAACTTACGCCCTGGTACACAACTGCCTGATTCAAGATCGCCTAGGGTGCTTCTAAAAAACTGAAGTCTCTAAGTCTTACTTTCTAGAGATTCTGGTTCAGTCCAGTCTTTATTTTCTGAAAGATGCACGGATAATTTCAATGTATGCTCCAGATTTGGAACCATACATCTCCTTAGCTTTGAGCCATCCCTGGAGGGTACATTAAGGCTGGTGTGAAGGGTAAGAAGTAGAGTTAGAAAGTATTAAAAGTCTCAGTGACCAGATTTCACAGAAGATGTGAGTTTCTGAAGTGAGTCCTGGATTATAAATGCCATTACCTGCCCCGAATTCTCTGTATTATCCTACCTGACCTTGTTTTTGTAAACCTATGAAACCAGAAGTTGGTACTAATGATAAAAATAGTCTTTCCTGTTCTAAAGTTCTACAGTTCCAAGAGTCAGTTCAAGAAAGAGCAGACCTCTGTGATTAGATTCCACTGGAGAGATGCTTACTTCAGAACCACGGAGCACTGTGTTAGCTATTTGTTGTTACAGAACAAGTTATCTATAGGTCAAAAGGCAGCGTGATGCATCTGGATTTTTTGTTCAGAATCTCACCAGGCTAAGATCAGTGTCAGCCAGGGCTGCAGTTCTCACTTGGCACTTGAAATCTTCAAGCATAATCATTACTTTCCAATTTTAAGATTGAGGCTTCTGCACCCTAATTGGCTATCAACTTCTAGGTGCCACCCTCACTTCTTGACATTTGACTTCTCCTGTGTTCAAAGCATGTTGGATCTTTCTCAAAGTTTAAGTCTCACTGATCTCTTCTCTACAAATCAGAATATTCTTCTTTTAAAGGACCCAATCTAAGTGGATCTGGCCCATTTGGATAATCTCTGTATCTTAAAGTCAACTAACTTGGGATTTTAATTGCATTTGCACCCTGAGGATTAATGTGATAAGATTAAAAAGATGTGCGTACATGTGTTTAAGGGAAAGAACAAAAAAACTAGTGAATTAAGTTAGGACAAAAGTAATTAGGAAATGTCAACTGAGGTCATGAGTTCCCAATGGGGTATTGTACTATAAATAGTCTAACAGCCTGTACTTATGTTATTGACTCTGGGCTACCATAAAAACCCAAACCATATTCTTTTCTTTAAGACAATAATGTAAGTAGCATATTATAGATTTCTGTCTACAACAGTTGAACTTTAAAAAACAGTTGGTCAATTATAGGTCTAAGCTACTGTTATACAGTACGATAGATACTAGTCAAATGTAACTCCCTAATGTAAGTTGGGAACCGAATTCTTAATTTTATTTAATTTTAATTAATTGAAACAAAAAAACTTAAGTCATCAGAGAACTTAAGTGTTTAAGTGTTTGGAATAACTTGGGCATGTATACCTTCTCAACTGTAAATTTTTCAAACACCGAATCAGTTATATAACGTTCACGAAAATTTACTGTTCGTGTTGATATGCCATATGTGTAAAATACAGAACAAATTTACAAACTTTGTACAAGATATAAAGCATTTGATAACTTTGAAGTTATCAGTTGAAATAGTACGTATTTTGGCTATGTGAATTACATAAAATATTAAAATTAATTTTACCAGTTAAAAAAAATAATAATTGCATTTGCAAAATTCCTTCATAGTAGTGCATAGAACAGTGTTTGATTCTATAATCAGAGGATAGGAATCCTGGGGGTGCAACTTTAGAATTCTGCCTACCACAAGCATTGGAGTCTGGAGGCAATGTTTATCCCTATAAAGGGAGGAAGCAACCACATATCTGCCAAGCTCTTGTCCTGTGCCAGGCACTGTGATGAGCGTGTGATGGACACGGACACCATCCCACTTCGTTCTCGGGAGTAGCCTGTGAGGTAGAGATTACCATTCTCATATTACAGACGGGAAACTTGTGACTCAGTCAAGGGAAGCTATGTTCCCAAGATTACTTACCTCGTTCATGCTGGAGCTGGGCTGCCTGGCCACATCCATCTGACAACAGTGCCTCCTCCATCCACCACTTCTTCCCCTTTTGCAGCTTAACTCAGAAGTCACATTGAGCACAGATTGGCCCTATGAAGAAGTCAGGGAATAAAGTTAGGATTCCTGAGTCCTGTTTCCATGATATTTCACTGCACCTTATTAATTTCCCCTATTGACTAAGATGCTGGAAACAGACGGATTAAGCATTAAAATATTAGGTGTCAAGAAAAGGGCTCCTTAATTTAAAGCAAGGGTCTTGGTCCTTACCTAATTCCATGCCTTGGAGTCCAAGGTACTTTGTTTTTTTTAAACAAGTCTCACTATGTAGTCCAGGTTGGCCTTGAACTTGAGATCCATCTGCCTCAGCCTCCTGAGTGTTGGAATTACAGGTATGTATCGCCATGTCCAGCTTAAGATAATTCTTTCCTCAGTTATACCAGGGCACAAATTCCTGGCGCAGATCCATCTAAATGGGCCAAGAGTGGTAAGAGAGAGATTTGACCCCTAAATACAAAAGCAAGAACTGAGACTTGAAGGAAGAGAAGAGAGCTGAGAGATTTTCAGTACTTAGCTTTGCCATGGGAGGGTGAAAGCTGAAACTCTCAGGGAATGTGAGTTTGGACATTTCTTTCTTGCAGATAAAGTAGGAGTGTGTCCCAAAGAGAGAGTAAAATGTACAGCTGAAATTCCGGGCATGTGCAAAACAGATTTCAACTGCCAGGCATACCTGAAGTGCTGCCCTTTTTCCTGTGGGAAGAAGTGCATGGATCCATACATAGGTAATGACATCCAAACCCTTTAGGTTTCCCATTTCTTGCCATGTCCAGAACTGGCTGACCAATAACACTGGACAGCAGGACAAAGAGGCCAGATTCCACTCTTTTCTCTTTCTCTAATTTAACGCTCCATCCTCATGAGTCTAGGCATCAACTAGATAATACTGATGCTCATCTTCTTTGGTCCAACCTTCAATCATTCACAAATAACTAATACTTTTTGCACGTTCACTATGTAGCAAGAAACTGTTGATGGCACTGTGACAAAATCAAACCTCAGTCAGCTTAGATGCTGAGGTCGTTCTTGGATTCTTTCAAGGAGGTTTTCTGATAACTCTAGTCAGCGTCTAATATGTCTAGGAAGTTATGTATTTTATATAGATGCATTTATTCATTTCTTCAACAGGTAATCTATTGTTGTTGCCTTTTGACTAAAGACTACAAGGACACACCTATAGTTGAATAAGTTTGTCTATTACTCATTAGAGTAAGGGATACGTTTCACCATAGACAACCAGGAGGCATCTCAGTAAGGAGCCATTCGAATCTACAATAGTATTTAAGCTTGGTTGGGCAATTTGGGGAAGGGTCTACAAAAGTGGGGGTTTGCCTCAGATGGTAGGGGCAATTCTATAGCTGGGTATGTCAGTGAATCTCATCCGTCGGAGGATCACATCCTCATTCCTAAGGATAAAGCTGTCATTAGTAGAGAAACATAAGTCACTCATGTTAGCTGGCAGAAAGAGTTTGGTATTTTGTGTTTCACAGTTACCTCACTTTATCGTGATCTTAGAGTGACTTTATTTGATGTGAATGTCCTGTGAAAATTTTTATGTCCAACAGGACCAACTTAGCTGTGTCAGATCAGTTTTAAGATACCAGGGACTGCTTTCTCTTTTCCTATACACCACCTACTTTGTTGGGCACTGTAGATATTGTTGCTGGCCATGTCTTGTCCTCTCAAAGCCCAAACCAGTGGAGAAGAAAGATCAAATCTGTTCATAATATCCTTTGCAAAAAAAAAAAAGTATGCTCAGAGTGCCGAGCATGGTGGTGCATGCCTGTAATCCCAGCACTCAGGAGGCGGAGACAGGAGGATCAGAAGTTCAAGACCAATCTAGGCTATATAATGAGCTCTAGGCTAACTTTGGCTACATAGTGAGACCCTGTCTCAAAAAACAAAAACAAAAACAAAACCCAAAAAAACAAAAACCAGGGTGCTGGAGGCATGGCTCAAGCAATAGAACACCTGCCTAGCAGGTGCAAAGCCCTGAGTTCAAACTCTAGTACCATAAAAAAACAAACCAAAGATGCTCAGAAGATCTACACAATATAAAAATATTAGTAGTAGAACTAGGACTAGAACCTGTCTTTTTGACTGTGTCTTTTTCTATGACTTGAACAATAACACCATGAATTATAGCAAAGGTCTGGAGACTAGGGACCTGACTGTCTCTTTTTATCCCTACCCCATGTTATCTCTTTGATGCCTGACTTCAGAGCCCTGCATGTTACCCTTAGACAAAGGAATCTGTCAGGAAGATTTGAGTCGCTGGTATTTTGACTTTGAACAATATCAATGCAAACCCTTTATATACGGTGGTTGCCAAGGGAATGCCAACAACTTCTTCAGCAAGGATGACTGCAGGGATGCCTGCTTGTTAATTGGTAAGACCCAAATCCCTATCAGTCTGAGGACCTTGTTCACTAGAAATAGTACAACAGTGTGGTTATAGGCTCAGCTTTAAGGCGTAACCTCCTTGGTGCAAGCTGTGGTTCTGTCATTGGCTGGTTGGGAGGTCATGGGCCAGTTGGTTGCATTTATGAGTTTCAGTTTTTGTGTTTATAAAATGGAGATAATAACAGTACTTATTTAATGGAGATGTTGTGACAAAAAGGGAGATAATGTGAGAGTTTTGCAGCAGGGAACTGAGAAGAGAAAATATAAGCAGAGAGGAAGCCAGGCCAGGGTTTGAAGTGCTCCTGGGGGCAGTCCCTGTTTTCCCCTCACCTTGGAATGCCAGCACAAGGAAATCTTGGTCTGCGATGGGGACAGGGCAAAAAGGCCTTGTCCTTCCTGCTTCAAGCCATCTCACGTTCAGGTGAGGTGAGTTTCCTAAACAGCTTCTCCTTTAACGCCTTCTTTCCCACTCCATCTTCTATTTCCTATAAGTAAATATCAACTCCTTGGCCTGACTTCTAAGGCTCTTCATTGTTTCTGAGTAATCTGAGCAATGCCCAAGTGTCTCTCGATCCCCTTTTCTGTCTTCAGAGTGATTGGGTGGCCTGCTCTTTCCAAAGATGGAAAAAGATGTGGGTTCTACACCACTGATTATTGAACCCTCTGACTGCGCCTGGCCTTCACTCAAGGGCTTAATCTTACCCTTCCAAGGCTTGCTTTTAGGTCTTCACCACCCACAACTTCTCTGTCCTTGAAGACTCCCTCACAAATGAGATAGTGTACATACTGTGTTAATAAATTTGGCCAATGGGGTCTAAGAACCAGGTCTACCTCCTTGGAGGAAGACGTTTTCTCACAGCATCAATCTATTGGGCATCAATCCAAGGACACACCCAAGAATGAAGTTTAGACAGGACAGCCCTGCAATCTCATGGAGGAAGTGTAGACACTGGATATGGAGAGTAGAGTGGAGTGAAGGTGAAGACTCTGGGCTCATTCTTCAATGTTATGGTTGTCACCAGTAATGGTGGGAGACAGTGTCCTATAGAGGTCATGTGACCTGGGTTAAAATCCTACTTTGCCTACTTGCTGCAAATTTCTTCACTTCTTTGGGTTTTAATTACATTCTCTGTAATATTGGAATAATAGCGAAGAGCTCACTGAATTGATAGGATACCATGTGATCAAAGACACAAAGACTTGACACCAGGGCTGCACAAGGAATGAGCTCACTAAATGGTAACAACTGAGATGGTGATGATGGATCTTCAAAATGCATCACTGTAAGCTGGATGTAGTGGTGCACCTCTGTAAACCCAGAGTCAGGAGGCTGAGGCAGGAGGATTGTGAGCTCAAGGCCAGTCTGGGGTACATAGTGAGACCTTGTCTCAAAAAAACAAACACAAACACAAAACAAGCAAATAAAAGCAGCTTTGTGACTGACGAGGCAGCATTGGAATTTCAAGCTAAGATTTTGTAAGGCTAAGCAATATACCTATTGCCAACACTTTACAGATGAGGAAAGAGTCAGGGAGGTAAATGCAGTTGTCTAAGGACATACAGTTGGTCAGGGAGAGAGCTGTAATTGTATTCCTTAGGCCCAATGTACCTGAATGGGTAAGGCAATCTTGTAGCTTGACTTGATGAAATTAGGACCATAAGCCTCCCTTTGTAGGAACCATGAAGCTGTGGATTAGACCTCAGTCCTCCAACCCAAGAGACAACAGGGCTTGGGCTGGTTTATGGGAGTTTTAGGTAGGGATTAAAGGACTAATTATTCCTATCTGATAGAGAAACTGAAGTCACATTGAGTGTCAAGACTAGTACTTTATGCTGGGGCTTCAGACACCTACCCTGCCATATTCCATGATACGGTGAGATGTTTTTTTCCTCCATAGCCTACTGGAGATGGACATGGTAGGGTGAACCCAGTTCAGAAAGAAATGCCAGCTTTGAAGAGAAGGAATGCGGCTTGAAGGTTGGTGGGATGGGGTGGGTTTGTAGGAACTCACATCTGTTCTCATTTTAGTCAAGAAAGGGCAGTGCCCACTCTTCCCCTACGAGGCTCGAATGGAGTGTCCAGCATCATGTAGGAATGACATGGATTGCCCTGAGCAGGAAAAATGCTGTGATTCTAGGTGTGGCTTTATATGTGCCAAGTCCTGGACAGGTGAGAACTAAGGAAATACCTCCCAAAGTCCACTGGGTTTATGTCAAGGATACCATGTCATCTCATGAAGTGGTGACATCTTTATTTTTTTTAAGACAGGGTCTGTCTATGTGGTACAGACAGGCCATGAGTTCGTGATCCTCTTGCTTCAGCCTCCTGATTATAGGTGTTTACCACCACACCCATCTGGTGTCTTGACCCTCAGATGCCTCTTGGACTGATCTGGAGGCGTGTTAGGACTCTTCTCCTTTAATACCCAACCAGTGCTCACAGGTTGAGCTCCTGACCTATGCGTACTGTTGTGTCGATCCTCAAAGGCAGTCATGCATGAGGTCTTCTCCATTTGTCCCCAGGAAAACTTATTTGTTCTGAGTCTTATTCTTCAGTGACCTGTGAAGTGACAATGTCCACGGATTCATACACACTCACACACAAACACATGAATGCACACACACATGCAATACTTAATTATTAGGTATAGTCCTAATAATTCACACCTTGTAAAAGGGGCTGGGGAAAAGAGTGGTATGAAATGCTTTTGAGGTAGACACCAACTATCCAACCTCTAAGGCTGGAGATGCAAATTCCCCCATGCAGTCCCAGGGATTGTCAGTGCTTTTAGATACACCATGGTATGCAAACACTTTTCAACTGACTTCAACTTTTCTTCTGGCTTTCTGTGAGGCTTTGGGCATCATCCTTCTCCTTAAATGGTCCTCAATTCAAGGAAGCTCTAGGTGCTCTCTAACACTCTTCTTCCATCTCTGGGATTGTATAACCCATATTCATTAATTCTGTAGAGGCAGGTGAGAATCTTTCAGATTGCATAATTCCAATATGGCAAAAATTTTTTTGGTGATCTTCAAATTGATAGAGAATTGATATTCTGCCTCCTCCATTGTGTTGTTACTGTAAATTCCCCAAATGTGTGTCAAATTATAACCAAATATCTGAAGGTCAAGTGTCTTATTTTACCCCAAAAAGTCAAAGCAGGTTTCTGCCCACATAAGCCCATGATATGTAACAAGATTGATACACCCAAATGCCTGCAGGACAACGATTGTCCACTGGAGGAGAAGTGCTGCTCGCGTTGTGGACTGAAGTGTTTTGATCCCAGAAACTGACAGTGTAAGTAGAAAACACTATCATCAAAGTAATGAATTACATGTAGCATAATAAAACCTTTCACTTTCATTTGTGTTGAATTCTTGCCAAATTATGTCACTGAAATAACAGTAGTATTGGAGCTATTGTGATTTTAAATAGAATCAGATCATCTGAAAAATGAGAATAAATTTGACTCTTCTTTTTTCCAACTTCATGACTTTTTAAAATCTTCTATGACACAGACTGTGAAATAACATCGAAAATAAAAACAATGAAGGAGGTGTGTAACCCAGTGGCAGAGCATGCACAAGGCCCTGTGTTCAAACCCCAGAATTTAAATATAAATAGATAGATGATAGATAGATAGATAGATAGATAGATAAGGTGATGGTATCTGTCACTGAGTAGTTCCTTATTTTAAAGTCAGTATGACTTCTGATAAATAAAAAGACACATGTTGTTGGATTTGGAATAAATAGGTTTTATTACACTTAGGTGATTTTCTTTTTTAAAGCTATTTCCTATCCATTTTCAGTTACTGCAGGAAATGACTGTTGAATTTTATCAATTTTTTTTGAGACGGGGTCTTGCTGTGTTGCTTAGGCTGGTCTCAAATTTTTGACCTCGAACAATCCCTCCTTCCCAAATAGCTATGCCCAGCTTATGAAATACCCTTTAAGCATCCAGTCAGATAGTGATTTTGCTCTTCTAATTTGTTGGCATGATGACATATATTATTAAATTGTCATATGTTGAATCATTTTGCATTTTCAGAATAACCCTAATCTTGTTAATCTATTTGTATTAATACAGTGTGGTTCTTTCAGCAAATAGTTGACTCAAAAATTTTCACATCTATAGTTAAAAGAAAAATTGGTGTATGTTTTTTGTTTGTTTTGCTATCGAATCATAGTACTTTAAAAAAAAAAAACTAGTGTGGGAACCTAGTAGGAAACTTGCTTACTTTTTCTATGACCTAAAAATTTTTAGTAATATATGAATTCTCTGTTCTTTTAAGGCTACACAAAATTCCACTCCAAAAAATCTAGATTACATTCTTTCTGTAGTGATACATTTCAATAATTTTCAAATATTTTTCTTTTGTAGGAGGGGAGTGGGCAATGAAACTTCATTTATGTTAAAACCAAACCACTAGGAAAATATATCACAGCTCTGACACAGCAAACAGGCCATCTTATCACTTCAAGTAGTAAGTTGGTGAAATGACAGCACAGTCCTTATCCAAAAGATAAGGTGTGATGAGGCAGGAACCCTATGTGTTACAAAGGTCCCAAGCAAAAATGGTTTTTGTAATGGCATGGAGGACTGCTCTTCCTTTTCTCTAAAGGAGTGACAGGCCAGCCCAAATTACTTACTTTTTAACTTTCATTTGCCAGAGGGTTATCTAAATAAGGCTCTGTTAATCCAGGGGGCTATGTCAGCAATGCTGGGTTTAGGCTTTTGTTTTATTCTTTTCTATGAAAACCAGGCTTTTCCAAGTCTGGTACTTTACAACTCTCTTATGGAGCCAACAGTTATGTTTTTTTTCCTGGTGGTATGGGGTTTGAACTCAGGGCCTTGTTTATCCCCAAATACTGATATATATATCACAATCAAAACCCTTTTCCCTTCAGAGAAGAGAAGATTGTCCTGTCACTCTGCTGCAGAAAACCCCAGGGTCCGTGAAGGAAGCTCTGCTTTCCATACTCAGGGTGTGTTGACTCATATTTTTGCACTGCTCTCCAGGCTGAATGGTGCGATGTAAGAATTTCAAGAAATGCACACCCATATCTTGATGACCAGAAAAGTTTATATACAAGGAATCTTCCAAAGTTCTTATTCAAACTACTGTCCCCTCCAGCTCCACATCTTAAATCTATTTTGTGCTGTTGTATATAAAAACAAAACCAAGCAAAATAAAGACCCTCAAACATTTTTCCCATTCTAAATTAGTGATCTCCTAGATTTTGTTTTACAGTTTATAGAAAATGGTGTGGTGATACTTCTGGTAAACAAGAGATTGACAACAAATAAGAACACCTCTCCTCAAACTCCATCAGATCACAGGCAGGTGACCTGCCAACCTGTTGGTACCTTGGAGAAGTATCTTGGAGGGCTCTGGCTTGGAACAGGGAGGTCTCTCTACAGCCAGTTTGAACACTTGTCACATTAAATTAGGCTCTAAAACACATTTCTGTGCTATTTTTGACCCAAAATTAGTACATATATTCCATTTCACACAGTGTGATTGAACATCTAGGAAGAGGTTTAACTTATTTTTAAGAAAGTATAAAGGATGATGCAGCCTTAATTGGGGGCTCTGGGAACCATTTGGAGATTTGTTTGTTTGTTTATTTATTTTGTAGTGTCAGGGGTCAAACCCAGGGCCTTGCCCATTCAAGGATGTGTTCTGCCACCAAACTATATCCCTAGTCCCGGAAATATATTGACTTTGTGAATCTCCAATCACTAAAGACATCTGTCTACCTCATCCCTTTTGGACTCAGCATTCCTCTCTGCCTTCAGGTCCACAATAAAATATTATATCCACACCAATACCAAAAGATTCCCCAGAGGCCTCTGGCTAGAACTTATATGCTCAGCAACCTCCTAACCTTATCGCTGACAGTTGCTGGATGACATTTAGTCAGCATCCTCACTTCTCTGGGCCTTAAATCCCTATCTATAAGATAAAGTGATGGAACTTGTTTTCCCTTAGAGCCCTGCCACCTAGATGTTCCAAGGTTTTGTTCCCTCTTAGCTGAGTTTGGGAGAAAACAGAAGTAGAATGAGAGGGACAGCACTGATTATGGCATCTTGAGTGTTCATTAGAAATTCTGTTCCTAGTCTCTTTGATGAATCTTCCTTAAATGAGGCTGCAAAGTTTGTTGGATGGGATTCCCACGGAAACTCTGCCTGTGATCCCAAATTTTGTGGCCACATAGTTGCTCACTAATGAGAAAACTGGCTTTGCCTGGCTTCTACCTATCATTTAGGAGAATTTGGAGAACAACAATTGGCACAATAGAGCAACACTTAATTAGGAAAGAAAGGGGGAGCCCTATAGATAACATTTACTCTGAAGAATATCTCTCCCCTTACCAGAACTGATTTAGTTGATGGTACTGGAGATTTGCAGCTGTGGGAAAGATCTCCAGTACCCTCTTTCCATTAGCCATATTGGAATCTGGAAGTTTGAATCTGGTATGCTATTGAACTTGATTCAGTTGTCTCTCAGGCAGGTCTCTCAGTTTCATGGTTTCTTCTCAGACAAGGAGTTTGCATCAGATGACAGACTCCCTATAATCGTCAACAATTTCTCCTGCTCTCAAAGTGCCACCACTGTGACAAACTCTTTTGGAAGACTTATCAGTTTCATTCCTCCCTAACATCTTACTCGTGGCAACATATACTTTTTGGCCTTAATCAAAGAATGAGTGACTCAAAGAGAAGATAAAAGGAAGAATAGTGGGAAGAAACTGTGGGTGAGAGAGAAAGGAACACAGAGACCATGGGAGACCCACAGATAAAGAGAAAAATAAAGATAGACACAGAGAGGCACAAAGAGATACCAAGAGATCAACAGAGACATTGTCAGAGCAGATGGAGGGGTGTGCTAGTCGGCGTGTGCGTGAAATGGGAGATGAATAAGAAGAACATTCCACAATTCTCTTAAGTGATTAAGACAAGACCCGACAGGGTGGCTTCACTTCTAAGGTGTCCTGGAAAGTATCCCCTCATTGATCCAAGGCCCTCCTCAGTGCAGCCCATGTCTCCAATAAGAGACCCTTCCCCAAAGCTGTGGGCTGGAGATGCCATTAGTCCTCATTTGTGACTTCAGGAACTTGGTGTTCCCAGCAAGAAAGGGGGTGGCTGGCTTTTCTCCAGTTCTCATGTCCAAGACACTGGCTGCTGGAAGAATAGGTTGAGCACAGCAGGCAGTCATTTCAATGTTCTGGAACGCCAGCCAGCCGGGCCCCTCTTCAGAATGGAGTCTTCTGGACTTCTGAGCATCCTCCTGCTACTCATCCTCATTGTGAATATCCAGGGACCTCGCCTAAGTGATTGGCTCTTTCCCAGTAAGTAGTAAGCCTCACCCTTGTCCTGGAGAAAGGGAAGTTTTCTGAGAGGAAGAGACAAGGATTCCTCAGATCTGGGTTCGTTCCTCCATCTTAGTCTTGACTGTGGGTTGGGTGAGGAGGGGGATATTGAAGATACTCTGGGAAATATTTTCTGGGAATGCAGGTTTCTAGGTCTGTGCAATCTCTACTTTTAGTCTCTCAGAAGTAGAGGCTATTTCTTTGGGAAGTGGGGGACAGACATGGACCTAGCATTTATGGGGGGTATAGGATCCCTTTCTCAGGACCTTGTCTTTATTTTTTCTGATTCTTTCAAGTGTAGTCCTATAAAGTGTCTTGGCATTCAGGTCAAGTGTTCTTGACTTTGGGATAAAAGATAGTTTCTAGAAGTTCCTTTAAATATAAGACAATGAAGCTTCATGACTATGTAGTAATAATGATAATTGTTAGAATTTTCTGAACACTCACAAAGTAGGGATTTCTGAATAGAGATTTTGAATAATAATAATAATAAGAAGAAGAAAGACTTGAATCAGTCTGGTAGCCATGTAACCTTGGGCAAGTCACTGAATCCAATGTGCTTCGATTTCATCATCTGTAAAACAGAGACATTAGCAGAACTTACTTCATAGGACTGCTGTGGGGATTACACAAGGTGATGTATTTAAAATGCTTAGAAGAAAGCTGGGCACAGTGGCCCACACTATAATCCTAGATACATGGGAAGCAGAGATTGAGAGGATTGTGGTTCAAGGCCAGCCTGGGCAAAAAGTTTGTAAGACCCCATCTCAACCAACAAGCTGGGCATGATGGTGCATGTCTGTAACTCTAATTATACAGGAGCCACAGGTAGGAGGATCATAGTCTGAGCCTGGCCCCAGGCAAAAATGCAAGACACTATCCAAAAAATAACTAAAGCATAAAAGGGGCAAGGCTCAAATGGTAGAGAACCTGCCTAGCAAGTGCAAGGCCTTGAGTTCAAAACTCCAGTACTGCCAAAATATAAAATAAAATGCTTTGAAGGGTGTGTGGCTGATGGTAAATACTTAACAAACATTAGGTCATATAACTGTACTTCAATGATTATGATTAAAGTTTTACACTCTGGCTCATTTCCTCTTCACAACTCTGTAAGGCCAAGCTGATGTTACAAATGAAGAAAGGAAGTTTCAGGGAGGGTAAGTGCAGACAGACCAGTGTTAGAATTCAAAAGCCAAGCCGATTCTGGGGTGACACGAATCACTGTACAATGTCACCTCCCAGAGGAACTCGCAAGCAACGACTCCAGCAAAGTGGGAATGACCAGATCAGCCTAAAGCCATGGCTCTCAATGGGGGCATTTTTGTCCCCAGGAACATTTGCAATGTCTGGAGAGAAGTTTTGACTGCTACAATGCGGGTCTAATGCAAAAGCTACTGGCATCTGGTGGGTAGAGACCAAGGAGGCTGCTAAAGGTGCTACAGTACACAGGGTCGCCCCCACTCCCCACAATGTTTATCCAGGACAAATGTCCTCAGTGGTTAAGAAATTCTGCTTCACCTGCACATCCATGTTTATTGCGGCACTATTCACAATAGCCAAGTTATGGAAACAGCCAAGATGCCCCAGCACTGACGAATGGATTAAGAAAATGTGGTATCTATACACAATGGAATTTTATGCAGCCATGAAGAAGAACGAAATGTTATCATTCGCTGGTAAATGGATGGAATTGGAGAACATCATTCTGAGTGAGGTTAGCCTGGCTCAAAAGACCAAAAATCGTATGTTCTCCCTCATATGTGGACATTAGATCAAGGGCAAACACAACAATGGGACTGGACTTTGAGCACATGATAAAAGCGAGAGCACACAAGGGAGGGGTGAGGATAGGTAAGACACCTAAAAAACTAGCTAGCATTTGTTGCCCTTAATGCAGAGAAACTAAAGCAGATACCTTAAAGCAACTGAGGCCAATAGGAGAAGGGGACCAGGAACTAGAGAAAAGGTTACTTCAAGAAGAATTAACCTAGAAGGTAACACCCACGCACAGGAAATCAATGTGAGTCAATGCCCTGTATAGCTATCCTTATCTCAACCAGCAAAACCCCTTGTCCCTTCCTATTATTGCTTATACTCTCTCTACAACAAAATTAGAGATAAGGGCAAAATAGTTTCTGCTGGGTATTGAGGGGGGGGAGAGGGAGGGGGTGGAGGGGTGGTAAGGGAGGGGGTGGGGCAGGGGGGAGAAATGACCCAAGCCTTGTATGCACATATGAATAATAAAAGAAAAATGAAAAAAAAAAAAGAAATTCTGCTTCAAAGGGGCTGGGGCTGGGAGTGTGACTGGGGACCAAGGTGACAAGGTAGACTGAAGGGTGGCCAGCAGGGGTAGTGTGATCAGCGCTGGGAACTGCTCCAGGCCCCCGAGGGAAAGGATTCTTAGGAATGAGCAAAGTGAACGCAAACTTCCCTGACTCCCCAGAACTGTGTCTGGAGAAGGGTTCCCTTCAAGGCTCAAGGTTGTAAGACTGCTCCTTCCCTAGGGAAATGCCCCAGAGTCAGAGAACGCTGTGAATTCAAGGAAAGGGACCTGTGTACGAAGGACAGACAGTGCCGGGACAAGGAGAAGTGTTGCAACTTCAGCTGTGGAAAAAAATGTTTAGACCTCCAACAAGGTAAGGTTCAGAGCCCCTGAATAACTAAAAAAATTATTTTTCCTAGCTTTGGCTCTTAAGCCACTGCCTTTCAGCCTATACAATCCAACTTTGCACCAGGAAATGTTCCTAGCACCCAAAACTAGAGAGGTTTTTCCTTGATGCTGCAAACTTAACTCTATGCCCATTTCCTGAGGCTCCAAAAGGCTATCGATATTTACTGAGTGCTTCTGAGACCCATTGCATAGTCCATTTTGCATCACTGTTATAAAATGAGGCAGGACAGTTACAATGAAAAGAAGTTTATTTATTCATTCATTTATTTTAGAAACTCCCTTATTTTTTATATTACAAAATAGTGAATGTCATGATGACATTTCCAAATGTATTAAATGTGCTTTGATCCTGTTCATACCATTGCCGCCCGTGGTCCCCTGCCCTGTATCCTTTTCCCTCCAAAAAGTCCCCAATAGGGTCATGTCTTTTTGTTTGTTGGTGTTTATGGATCTAGGTTCTGCACATGAGAGAAAAGATGTGATGTTTGTCTTTCTGCATCTGGCTTATGATGATCTCCTGTTCCATCCATGTTCCTGCAGATGACTAATTTCATTTTTCTTTCTGGCTGACTAATGCTCCATTGTGTATATACACCACATTTTCCTGATCCATTCATCTGCTCAGGAACACCTCAGCGGGTTCCATAACTTGGCTATTTCGAATTGTACCACAATAAATGTGGGTGTGCAGGGATTTCTTTTTTATGTGACTTACATTCATTCTGGTATGTACCCAGGAGTAGAATAGCAGCACTATATATGGTAATTCAATTTTTAGTTTTTTGGGGAACCTCCACTGATTTCTGTAGCTACTGCACTAATTTATATCCTTGCCAACAGTGTATAAGTGTTCCTTTCCCCCCACATCGTTGTCAGCATTTGTTGCTGTTTGTTTTCTTGATAATAGCCATTCTGAATGGGTTGAGACAGAAGCTCAGTTTGTTTTGATTTGCATTTCCTTTATGGCTAACATTTCTTCATACATTTGTTGGCAATTTGGATTTCTTCTTTTGAAAATTGTTTGATTCCTTTGCCCATTGATGAATTGGATTATTTATTCTTTTGGTGTTTAACTTGGGGGCTGAAAAGAGGTTTATTTAGCTCACAGTTTTGGTGGCTGGGTAAAATAGCATGATTAGGTGCTGGCAAGGATCCAAGGCAAATGGTGAGGCACATGTGGGAGGAGGGAGAGAGCCAAGAGAGAGGCTGGGGACCTATGATCCCTTCTGAGGGCACATCCCCAACTGACATAAGGACCTGCCTCTTACCTCTTAAGGGTGTTGCTACTCTGGGGACCAAGACACCAATCCACGAACCTTGGAGAGGGCACACTTAAGCCACATCCAAACCATAGCACCCATAACTTGATTTGACTTGCTCACCGTGGTGAGGGACACTGGGAAGGGCTTCCCTGGGAAAGCAAAGCTGGAGGGGGTCAGAATGGAGGGTAATGTGAGGGGAAGGAAGATGGAAGGGCTCACCAGGCACAGGCACAGAGGCTCAGGGGTGGGTCCAGGGAGCCCAGATTGCAGAGTGGGCATGAGTGTGGTCAGGGAAGATCCCTGGTGGGTAAGGATCAAACAGTTCAGGCCTGGGTCAGACAAGAAAGTCTCATCTCAATCTCTTAAAAACTATGGAAATCCATTGAGGTCTGGCAGTGACACAACCAGGATTCTACTTTGCCTCCAATGCGCGAGAGGGAAATAGAAGGAACAGAGTATCTTAAAGGACTTCAGGATGAAAGGACAGGTAGCTTCAACTAGAGATGTAGCTGAGGGATGGGCAAGAATGGGATAGTTTGAAAGGTATTTAGGGAGTACCTAGGACTTTACAATGGAGGAGAGTAGGCAGGCAAGAGGGTGACAGCCATTCATTCCTATGTCCGCACAAGAGGAATTCTAAACTCAGTTGTCCTGAGTTCAAATTTGAGTTCCAGTTTTACCAGTGTTTTTTTTTTTTTTTTAACCAGTGTTTTTAAAACTCTTGAGCAGATTAACAACTTGCATGCAGCTGGTCTCCTGCAGCGTGACAGGGAAAAGGAGTCTGCTTCACTTTCAGTCATGGTGAAGAACAGTAACACTGTTTTGTATCTGGTGAACATTCTGAGTTTTCAACTCTGGGATCTCTCTGCAGATATATGCAAGCTACCAAAAGAAACTGGTCCCTGCATGGCTTTTTTTCGTCGTTGGTGGTATAGCAAGGAAAACAATACTTGCTACACCTTCATCTATGGTGGCTGCCAGGGAAACAATAACAACTTCCAAACCAAAACCATCTGCCAGAATGCCTGCCGAAAAAGACGTGAGTCTTGGGCCCCAGTCTCCCATTCTCACCAGAGTTCATCTAGGTGTTAGCTGGCTCAATCCAAGACAGCTTGGCTCACCTGGTACAAGCAGAACAAGCTGCAATCAGGAGGCAAAACTGCACCTTGCAGAGGGGAGCCTGTCTTTTTTGGGAACCGAGGATGGGAAGGGACATAGAGGTGAATCAAATCTAGAAACAATGAGGGGACTTGGGAGGGGTCAAAGGAGGAAGCAGATGTGGTGAGATCTCAGAGACCAATTGCAGAAGGATCACAGAATGTGCAGCCTAGCACTGGACACCTTGATCAGCCAATAATCCCCAGCCATCAATGTCCTCCCGGATCTCTTTGCCAATATCCAATTTCATTCATTTATTTTTCTGTTTAAACAGAGGTTCAAGCTCCACAGGTAAGCTCAGCCCAGGATGCTCAGCCACATTTATACCTTCATTCTCAACAGGCTCCTTTTCCTGAAGGATGAGGGATACACTAGAATTACTGTCAAGCTTGGCTCCTGTTCCCAGCTCTGTGTACCTGCCGGATGTTCCAGGTTGGCTTCCATTGTTGCACTGTCAGCACTCCAAGACCTTGTCTCTTCCCAGAAGTGCACTCCTCCTCTTCCTCCATCTCTACCTCCTTCCATGACTAATACCTTCCATTTGGATCCCATCCATATCTGTGCCTCACCCCTTCACCTCCAACATCCAAAGCTCCCTGTTTATCCCTGTGTAGCTCCTAGCTTTTTCAATAAAGTACTTGACTTACCTGTATCTCTGAGTCTGTGTAATTCATAACTGTTTGGCATTTTATACTTTGCAGAGAATCAGGCATCATTGAAACTTCTCGTGACATCACTCAAGGGAGTGAAGACATCAGAACTTTCAGAGTTGAGAGCTACAGGTGTATTGTTAACCTCCTCTGTTTCTTCAAAAGGTAGTAAAGGTCTTAAAGCAAGAACCCATGTATGTTGCCTTAGTGTGGATGCCTCAGAAACTGGCGACGGGCATGAGTAAAAGTAGTTTGCTTACATGGGAGATCTCCAAGAAGTATGAAATGGGGAGTGGGATAAGTGATTCAGGGAAAGAAGAGTCCAGCTACTTTGCAAGCAGAGCTCCATTTTGAGATCAGCCTGTGTAAAAAATTAGTAATATCTCATCTCAATCAATAGCTGGTATAGTGAAGTGCCCCCTGTGATCCCAGCTACACAGGAGGCTGTAGGTAGAAGGATCGTGGCCCCAGGCAAAAATATAAGACCCAACCTGAAAAATAATTGCAGCAAAAAACGACTGGGGCAGGGCTCAAGTGTAGCATGTGTCTAACAAGTTCAAATCTCAGTACTACCAAAAAACAAAAAAAGAAAGAAAAGAAAAAAAAAAGAAGAAAGGAGAGGAGCGGAGTCAATGATGAGCCATGGAAAACACGTCTTCAAATTTTCTTCATTGTCTCCCTTGCTGGGGATGTTGAGGTATCGATCCAGTGATTCCCATCCTCCACCAAAAGCCTGGGCCATAAATCCCCCACTCTTTCTGACTGTTCCATGAACAAGCTGAGCAAGCCCCTGGGAAGTCAGAAAAAACCCACAGCCGGGAGCTAGGGACTCTGTTCGCATGGGAGGCTGTGCATGTGCGCTGGATGTTATTCCTCCATAAATAGAAACAATGCAGCGATACAAGCTATTCTGTGAATGAAGCTCAAAAATGGACACTGTGTGATTCCATTCATATGAAACACGGAATAGGTGAATCTATAGTCACAGAAAGTGGATTAGTAGTTGTCAGGGGTTGGAGTGGCTTAAGGATGGCCAGGCTGTGACTGCTAATGGGTGTTGGGCTTTCATTTGGAGTAATAAAAATGTTTTATAACTAATAGAGATATAATTGTACAGCCCTGTGAATGTCCTAAAAAATCACTGAATTATTTACCTTAAAATGTTGATTTTTTTGTTTGTTTTTTAAGGCAAGGTCTTGTTCTGTAGTGCAGGCTGACCTTGAACTCATATCTGCTGCAGACTCCTGCGTGCTGGGAATACAGGCTCATACAACCAAGTCCTGAAAAATGGTTGATTCTGTATGATGTAAATTCTACCTCCATTTTAAACAATGGATTCAGGATAAAATGTGTCCTGGAACTGTTTCTTGAAACAGTTACAGTGAAATCAGAGGTGAGCCAAGTTCACTGGGGTGGGTGTGACATGCAATCCCTACTACAGTCTACCCTTGCATTGCTCAGAATCCCACATGTGTCTTCTCTCTCTCTCTCCACTTTCCCTCTCTCTCTTTTTTCTCTCTCCCTCTGACTGGGATTTGAACTCAGGGTTTTGCTCTTGCAAAGAGGGTGCTCTACGACTTGAGCCACATCTCCAGGCTATTTTGCCCTTGTTATTTTGAAGATGGGTCTCTCAAACTATTTGCCCTATCTGGCCTCAAACTTTGATCCTCCCGATCTCAGTCTCCCAGGTAGCTAGGATTACATATGTGAGCCACCAGCACTCAGCTCTACTCTTACCCACAGGTCAAGAATTAGTCTGTGGAACAATTCAGGAACAATTGGTGGAACATTCTACAGGCCCCACAGCTACAGCTGGTTCTGAAGCCATAGGAAACTGTACTATTTCTCTCCTACATTGCCTGTGCTAAATTGTGCCTGACGATAGAAGCTCTCTTTCAGCTCCAGTATTATTTCCTGCTTCAAAAGACCATGACCTGGTCAGGCACTATGAAGACTGATTTCAACCTGGGATCAATCCGTTTCCTCCTCACACCCTACTCCTGACAATTTCTTTACTCTCTGACAGTGAGTAAAGAAAAAGGGTGGATCAAAGAAAATAGACTAGGAAAGAAGGGAAGAAAGAGGGAGAGAGGAGAGAGAACGAGCACTGGTCAAAGACATAAAGAAGCACAGAAAAGAGAAAAACAAAGAGTGGGAAAAATGAAACAGATAAGTAGACATGCCTGAAGAAGAAGGAAATCAGAAAGGTGAAAACTAGGATACTTTTGATCTCCAAACTGCCCTTGGGAAAAGGAAGGTGGTGAAGCATCCCTTCTGCAGATGGGTCTTGAACACCCAAGCCAAGTGCACCCTTCTCCCTGGTAAACCAGAGCCTCAGATAAGGAGCAGCCTGTTGAGAGTCCCATCCTCCAGGGTCAGCAGTGGAGGTTCCAGATAGTCCTACTGATGACCTTGGGGACTTGGTGCTCAGCAAAGGGTGTGGCTGGCTTGTGTTCAAAGTCATCTCCTGGAGTTGGACCAGGGCAGCCACAGTGCAGATGCAAGAGCTGCTGAGCAGCTACTCATGGTTTTAATGCCACCAATCAGGCATTCCTAAAATGGGATTCTTGGGACTTCTGCCATTCCTGGTATTATTTATCCTCCTGGGGATGTCAAGGAACCTGGTCTGATGGAAGGCTTCTTTTTTAGTAAGTACTGGAAACACAGTCCTTGCCATGGAGTGAGGGAACTCGATGGGGAGGAAGGAACAAAGAACAGATTCTCACCTTGGCCAGGACCCTGGGTGGGAGAGAGGGGGCATTTGGAATCATTATTTCAGCCTGCTTTCCTCCTGGAAAGATGTCCTCGTGAATGCAGGGACCTAAGTCTATGGCAATGAAGTGCCCACTGTTTTTCCAAGGAGTCTCCCTGGAGGTGCCTGGCCCTAGAGCTCATGAAACAGGCTTTGGCAACTGGCTAGCCCAAAGGACTTTCCCTGAAGGACAGGCCTCTCCCCAGCACCTCCCACATGAGCTCCCAAATCCTCCCAGTGAAGGTCCCAAAGCATTCCTCACACCCACAGAAGATCCTTGCCTTTGGGGTAAAGAATAGTCTCCAAAAGACTCTTGGAATACTGAAATATGAAGACTCCACAACTAGTAGCTAAAATATACTGAGCACTTAAAAAGTAGTGGTTGAAAAAAATCAATAAAGAAATCCAAGATCTAAAATATGCAATAGATCAAATGGACCTAGTTGATGTCTACAGAACATTTCACCCAACTTCCACACAATACACATTCTTCTCAGAAGACTTCTCCAAAATAGATCCTATCCTAGGGCACAAAGCAAGCCTCAGCAAATATAAGAAAAAAGAAATTATACCATGCATTCTATCTGATCACAATGCAATGAAACTAGAACTCAACAATAAAAGTAAAGACAAAAAACATGCAAACAGCTGGAAACTGAATAACTCATTGCTTAATGAACAATGGGTCATTGATGAAATAAAAGAGGAAATTAAAAAGTTCCTGGAAGTCAATGAAAATGAAAACACAACCTACCGGAACCTATGGGACACAGCTAAGGCAGTCCTGAGAGGAAAGTTTATAGCCATGAGTGCATATATTAAAAAGACTGAAAGATCCCAAATCAATGACCTAATGATACATCTCAAACTCCTAGAAAAACAAGAACAAGCAAATCCCAAAACAAATAGAAGGGGAGAAATAATAAAAATAAGAGCTGAAATCAACAAAATAGAAACCAAAAAAACCATACAAAGAATTAATGAAACAAAAAGTTGGTTCTTTGAAAAAATAAACAAGATCGATAGACCCCTAGCAAACCTGACTAAAATGAGGAGAGAAAAAACCCAAATTAGTAGAATCAGGAATGCAAAAGGGGAGATAACAACAAACACCATGGAAGTCCAGGAAATCATCAGAGACTACTTTGAGAACCTATATTCAAATAAATTTGAAAATTTTAAAGAAATGGACAGATTTCTAGATACATATGATCATCCAAAACTGAACCAAGAGGAAATTAATCACCTGAATAGATCTATAACACAAAATGAAATTGAAGCAGCAATCAAGAGTCTCCCCAAAAAGAAAAGTCCAGGACCTGATGGATTCTCTGCTGAATTCTATCAGACCTTTAAAGAAGAACTGATACCAACCCTCCTTAAACTGTTCCACAAAATAGAAAGGGAAGGAAAACTGCCAAACACATTTTATGAAGCCAGTATTACACTTATCCCAAAACCAGGCAAAGACACCTCCAAAAAGGAGAACTATAGGCCAATCTCCTTAATGAACATTGATGCAAAAATCCTCAACAAAATAATGGCAAACCAAATTCAACAACACATCAAAAAGATCATTCACCACGACCAAGTAGGCTTCATCCCAGGGATGCAGGGGTGGTTCAACATACGAAAATCAATAAACGTAATAAACCACATTAACAGAAGCAAAGACAAAAACCACTTGATCATCTCAATAGATGCAGAAAAAGCCTTTGATAAGATCCAACATCATTTCATGATAAAAGCTCTAAGAAAACTAGGAATAGAAGGAAAGTACCTCAACATTATAAAAGCTATATATGACAAACCTACAGCCAGCATTATACTTAATGGAGAAAAACTGAAACCATTCCCTCTAAAATCAGGAACCAGACAAGGATGCCCACTATCTCCACTCCTATTCAACATAGTACTGGAATTCCTAGCCAGAGCAATTAGGCAAGAAGAAGGAATAAAAGGAATACAAATAGGTAAAGAAACTGTCAAAATATCCCTATTTGCAGACGACATGATCCTATACCTTAAAGACCCAAAAAACTCTACTCAGAAGCTTCTAGACATCATCAATAGCTATAGCAAGGTAGTAGGATATAAAATCAACATAGAAAAATCATTAGCATTTCTATACACTAATAATGAGCAAACTGAAAAAGAATGTATGAAAACAATTCCATTTACAATAGCCCCCCAAAAAATCAAATACCTAGGTGTAAACCTAACAAAGGATGTGAAAGACCTCTACAAGGAAAACTATACACTTCTGAAGAAAGAGATTGAGGAAGACTATAGAAAGTGGAGAGATCTCCCATGCTCATGGATTGGTAGAATCAACATAGTAAAAATGTCGATACTCCCAAAAGTAATCTACATGTTTAATGCAATTCCCATCAAAATTCCAATGACATTCATTAAAGAGATTGAAAAATCTACTGTTAAATTTATATGGAAACACAAGAGGCCACGAATAGCCAAGGCAATACTCAGTCAAAAGAACAATGCAGGAGGTATCACAATACCTGACTTCAAACTATATTACAAAGCAACAATAATAAAAACAGCATGGTACTGGCACAAAAACAGACATGAAGACCAGTGGAACAGAACAGAGGACCCAGCTATGAAGCCACACAACTATAACCAACTTGTCTTTGACAAAGGAGCTAAAAATATACGATGGAGAAATAGCAGCCTCTTTAACAAAAACTGCTGGGAAAACTGGTTAGCAGTCTGCAAAAAACTGAAACTAGATCCATGTATATCACCCTATACCAAGATTAACTCAAAATGGATCAAGGATCTTAATATCAGATCCCAAACTCTAAAGTTGATATAGGAAAGAGTAGGAAATACTCTGGAGTTAGTAGGTATAGGTAAGAACTTTCTCAATGAAACCCCAGCAGCACAGCAACTAAGAGATAGCATAGATAAATGGGACCTCATAAAGCTAAAAAGCTTCTGTTCATCAAAAGAAATGGTCTCTAAACTGAAGAGAACACCCACAGAGTGGGAGAAAATATTTGCCAACTATACATCAGACAAAGGACTGATAACCAGAATATATAGGGAACTTAAAAAACTAAATTCTCCCAAAACTAATGAACCAATAAAGAAATGGGCAAGTGAACTAAACAGAACTTTCTCAAAAGAAGAAATTCAAATGGCCAAAAAACACATGAAAAAATGCTCACCATCTCTAGCAATAAAGGAAATGCAAATTAAAACCACACTAAGATTCCACCTCACCCCTGTTAGAATAGCCATCATCAGCAACACCACCAACAACAGGTGTTGGCGAGGATGCGGGGAAAAAGGAACCCTCTTACACTGTTGGTGGGAATGTAGACTAGTACAACCACTCTGGAAAAAAATTTGGAGGCTACTTAAAAAGCTGGACATCAATCTACCATTTGATCCAGCAATACCACTCTTGGGGATATACCCAAAAGACTGTTACTCCAGAGGCACCTGCACACCCATGTTTATTGTGGCACTATTCACAATAGCCAAGTTATGGAAACAGCCAAGATGCCCCACCACTGACGAATGGATAAAGAAAATGTGGTATTTATACACAATGGAATTTTATGCAGCCATGAAGAAGAACGAAATGTTATCATTCGCTGGTAAATGGATGGAATTGGAGAACATCATTCTGAGTGAGGTTAGCCTGGCCCAAAAGACCAAAAATCATATGTTCTCCCTCATATGTGGACATTAGATCAAGGGCAAACACAACAAGGGGATTGGACTTTGAGCACATGATAAAAGCGAGAGCACACAAGGGAGGGGTGAGGATAGGTAAGACACCTAAAAAATTAGCTAGCATTTGTTGCCCTTAACTCAGAGAAACTAAAGCAGATACCTTAAAAGCAACTGAGGCCAATAGGAAAAGGGGACCAGGAACTAGAGAAAAGGTTAGATCAAAAAGAATTAACCTAGAAGGTAACACACGCACAGGAAATCAACGTGAGTCAATGCCCTGTATAGCTATCCTTATCTTAACTAGCAAAAACACTTGTTCCTTCCTATTATTGCTTGTACTCTCTCTTCAACAAAATTAGAAATAAGGGCAAAATAGTGTCTGCCTGGTAGCGAGGGGGAGGGGAGGAGAGGGAGAGGGCAGGGAGGTAAGGGAGGGGGCGGGGGAAAGGGGGGAGAAATGACCCAAACATTGTATGCACATATGAATAAAATAAAAATTAAAAAAAAAGGTAGTGGTTGAAAGTGAAGGTTTGGGAGTCATAATTCCCAGGTTCAAATCCAGACTTCAAACTTAATAACTGTATGCCCCTACACAAGTTCATATAACCTGTCTGCACATAAATTCCTCTGTTTATTAGATGTGAATACTAATAGGATTTACCCTTAGCTCTGTAATGAAGATTAAGAAGAAAAAACCAAGTGCATAGTGAGTAATTCATCAATATTAGTCATTATTATTTTGCCCCAGGCAGCTTGACATGGCTCTTTAAACTTTGTCCCATTAGCCTTCAAAATGACCTTGTAAGCAAATGAAATGAAGGTCCAGAGAGGGTTCCTGTCATACCTAGAGTTGCACAGAATTTTAAAGCCCAGAAATGGAGATTTCAATCACCAAGTGACCAGGATAGTCCTCTATGAGCATGTCCTTCACCCAGGAGCCTTAGGGTGGTGGGATAGGGGTAGGAGGGGATTAGGGCTGGAGATGTGGCTAGTGTTGTGAGAATCCCAAGCCCCGAGGGTTAACTACATTCTGGGGACAGGTGAGGGGTAAAGAAGCTTCCCTAACTGTATAGCAGTATCTTGGGACTGGGAAGGGAGAGTAACAGCCCCTTCAGGGCCTTAAGGCATGTGAAGTCAAAGAAAGGAACCAATGTATGAGGCACAGACATTGCTCATATCACATGAAGTGTTACCTGTTCAGCTGTGGAAAGAGATGCTTAGACCTCAGGAAAGGAACCTCACCGATCCCTCAACCACCTGACGCTCTCTGCTCCTTCCTCCTGCACTGACCTTGTCCCCAGCCCCTCTCCTGGGTCACTGAGGGATGCAGTCTGACCAAGAGTCTCAATGCATCTTCTTGATGCATCCTGTCACTGCTGGACATAGGAAACCTGATTGTATTTCATTTTTGAACATTCTGGGTATGGGATGGGAGCAACACAACTTTTCCTTTCTGGGTCTCAGTTCCCCTACCATAAGGTTGGTGTGGGTACTGGATCATATGGATATAGTCTCTTGGGTACTTTTTGGTGATCTGAGATGCCAAGTAGCCACCTATGTTCTGTCCAATGCCAACAGGGTGTTGGGTTATAGAAAACTGTAAGAGACAGAGACATGGTTGGTGGTATTTCCCGACCTTTTTTCTCCAGGCTTCTCTGAATACATAAATCCAGAATGCTTTCTCTGACTACCTCTTACCTCCTACACTTTTTCCTCTCTTCCCATATGTATTGTTGGGCTCTAAAGAAGACCATTGCCATTCATCCATTTATTCATCCAAAATATGAATTGGTGCTCCTGGCATCCACGATGGACTGTGCTTTCTCACTGTGGCCAGGAAAGTTTTTCCTGGGAAAGGAATCTGATTTAAGATATGAAAGACGTATAGTAGCAGGCAAATATTGGAGGGGATAACCTTCCAGACACAGATGACAGCATATGGCAATGCCCTGTGCTAGGAGGCAGCACACTCAGACCTAGAAAGACCAGAGAGTAAAGAAAGCAGAGTGAGAGATGAGAACGATGAGATGAAACTGGACTACTGAGGAGGGTTCAAGGGTCTGGTATTGCTCCTAAGAGCAATGGATCATCTACATTTACTTAGAGTTTTTCTTTTGTTTTTGTTTTTGTTTTAAGACATAGTCTTGACATGTAACCCACTCTGGCCTCACACTTGCAAATCTCCTGCCTCAGCATCCTGAGTGCTGGGAACAGGTTTATACCACCACACCTGACAGATTATCTAGATTTAAATTCCTTACCATCTATGTGACCTTAGGAAATTTACAACCATCCCTGACAGAGGTCAAGGGTATGTGAGAAAGTGTGCTCCCCACTAGAAACTCCACACAAGCTCTCAAGGAAGTGGCAGAAAGGAAACAGAGCCCTGTATAGAAAAGAACATTAAGATTTAGCTGTCCAGATGAAGGGAAGGCACTATAAAAAAGGCTATGTGGTATTGTCATATAAGCAGGGTGGTATTTTATTTTCTCATCTTACAGATAAGGAAGTCAAAGACAAAAAGAGGTAAACACTTTAGCCTTTAATTGAGGTTCACACTAATCTGGAGCAGAGCTCTGAGCCAAATGTATGACTCACAGAGGAGACAAAGCAGGCATAGGACAGAGGAAAGGGGAGGTGGACATTCTCCAGGAAAACAGGCATTCAAACACCTATTCTCTGTGCTCTCCCTAGATGTATGTAGTATGCCAAAGGAAACTGGCCCCTGCTTTGCCTATCTTCCACGCTGGTGGTATGACAAAGAAACTGAGCTCTGCTCCAGATTCATCTATGGAGGTTGCCAAAGGAATCCTAACAACTTCCCATCTGAAGCTATCTGCTTGGTCATTTGCAAAAAAAGATGTAAGTCTCATGGGTCCCAGACTCCTCCCATACTCACCAGACCTACACTGAGAGATCTGGGAATTAGTGCATTTCAAGATACTGGTAGCCCTGGGGCTGAAGAACCAGCTTGAATCAGGAGGTGAGAATGCACCTTGCACAAGTGTGAGTAGAAGGATATTTGGGGAAGACAGGATAGGAAGGACAGCAACAGGCAAGGGGAAATTGGCAAGTATGAGGTGAATAGTGGGTACAGAGAAGAAACAAAAGTGATGGAGTGTTCCAAACAAGTCACAAGGAAGCCCAGCCCTGGACACCACTCACCAGCCAATCACCACAGGCCATTACTTCTCACCAAAACTTGTCACCACATCACTTCCTTTTAAAGGTGACTTAAGGCCAGGGCAACCATATACTTTATTGGTCAACCCAAGTCAATTTGGGGAATAGAAAAAGTTGCTATTAGTCATGAAGAAGAACGAAATGTTATCATTTGCTGGTAAATGGATGGAATTGGAGAACATCATTCTGAGTGAGGTTAGCCTGGCCCAAAAGACCAAAAATCATATGTTCTCCCTCATATGCGGACATTAGATCAAGGGCAAACACAACAAGGGGATTGGACTTTGATCACATGATAAAAGTGAGATCATACCAGGGAGATATGAGGATAGGTAAAACACCTAAAAATCTAGATAGCATTTGTTGCCCTCAATGCAGAGAAACTAAAGCAGATACCTTAAAAGCAACTGAGGCCAACAGGAGAAGGGGACCAGGAACTAGAGAAAAGGTGAGATCAAGAAGAATTAACCGAGAAGGTAACACACATGCACAGGAAATCAATGCGAGTCAACTCCCTATACAGCTATCCTTATCTCAACTAGCAAAAACCCTTGTTCCTTCCTATTATTGCTTATACTCTCTCTACAACAAAATTAGAGATAAGGGCAAAATAGTTTCTGCCAAGTATCGAGGGGGTGTGGAGGAGAGGGAGGGAGCGGAGTGGGTGGTAAGGGAGATGGTGGGGGCAGGGGGGAGAAATAACCCAAACATTGTATGTCCATATGAATAAAAAAAAAAGAAAAAGTTGCTATTAACTATTAAGCTGTGACAACAGACATGAACTGGGGATCTACTGACAAATCAGAATGTCTTATCACTCTGGGAACCCCCAAACTCACCTCACTGCTGTTTTCACATCTTGCCAAAAGAAGTAAAAATAATCCCACCTCCTTTTTTACATTCACTCCAAGATGTGGTCACTCACCTGTGTTCTGCTATTTTACAGACTCATCTTCCTGGATAGGATAGGGTGGAGCTGGCACCACCTCCAGGATTTGGCTCGTAACACAGGACTCTCCATGTGCGTGACTGATGTTCCATATTGGCTTCCAAGGTCATATGCCAGCCACTGAGACGTGACCGTTTCAGTAATGGAATCCAGGGATTTGCTTACCCCCATTCTCCAGTTCAGCTTCTCTTCAAACATAGTGTCCACCCTTTGACTCTTTCTCAGCGTGAGGCTGTTATCTCTTCAATATTCAGGGTCCCTCTTCATCCCTCCGAAACCTCTGGTGACTCCTAATAAAGTGCTCTGTGAGGTCTGATATCTCTGAGTCTGAATAATTTACACCGGCTGTGTGAAGATACTCACATCTCCCTATATGCGGTTTCCAGAGAAGAGGTCACTGGGTTTCCAAATAATGACAAAAGAAGGGTAGGGGAGTATGAAAATTGAGAACTCTGGTGACCCTGCACCTTGGCAAATTGTCATAAGATGCTTAGAGCACATCCAGGTTTTGTATGATCTAAACCTTACAAACCACAGGCGCCTTTAAAAACCCAATGCAACAAAAGGCAAAAGAGAGTATTATTTCAAATAAGAAAGGAATTCACATCCAACTGCAAACTTTAAAAAGTAGACAACTGCCACAAATTGCACAAATCCATAGAAATCAATTTTAGTGTTTTACATTTATGACATCAGTTCTGTAAATCTAATTTTTATGGAAAGTTAATTCAGTCCTTTGTCTAACATGAATGAAGAAATTGTTGCTATTATTATAGTTGGGGTGCCCAAAGTACATTCCTGAATGCAATACCGTGCTCAATGTTTATAGTTTGTTCATAGATTTGCACAACAAAAACACAGGTGTTTTAATAAATTCTCTGCTGTATGATTCGAAAAAAAAGAAGATATTCATGACACAATTAAAATTTTACATATTGAATTATTAAGGATATTGTTGCTAATAAAAAAAACGTCTGATAAAAGAATTGAAAAGGCTTCCTTAAGAACTGATTTTTCTCAGGTTGTGGGTGGGGCTCCCTGATAGAATACTTGCCTAAGAAATTCCTGAGCCCCTGGGTTCAATTCCCAGCACCACAAAAATAAAAAACTGATGGTGTATTTATCATTTTGCCTATTTGATATTTGGAAGAGTTTTCCAGAGACTTGTTTTCCTGCCTGAATAGATTTAAAAACTTGATTCTCCTCCACCCCACGACTTCTAAGGCTTGGCACATGCAAACTACCATGCAACCTACAGCCCAGGCCTTCAGGTCATGATGTCAACGGAACTGGCACAGTAGACAACAGCAGTAGTGCTTGTAGCCATTGCCACACCAAGACATCCAGCAGCAACTTCCTATACACAGAAATGGCAGGGAACAACCCAAATATATCTCAGGAGCTCCAAATAAATATATCCCCAACTCAACTCAGCTTCCTTCTGTCTGCCTGCCAAAAGTGCTGGAGCCATTTCAATACCACCTGACCCAGGAGGAGTGTGACGGGAAGTCAGAGTGGAAAGGAAGGCAGCTTGGCTGGTTATGGCCAGAATATCTTACTGTCAGCTATTACTTATCCTTTGACATGGAGCACATCCGAGGTTCATTCTCGGAATCTTAAAGGGCCTGATCAAGTGAGGGATCCTGAGGCCTCAGCTCCACCTTCTTCATGGCAAGTCCACCACTGAAGTGCCCATGTACTTGTGTTCTGGGGTCACAGTAAGGACACGGTTCCACTGTGTGGTACAGAAACTCCAAATAGAAAATTACAGGAGAGGCACAAATTGAGGAGATAATAGAGAAGGAAAGGGGAGTTAGAGAAGAGGGGAGAAGAAAGGTGAAAGGGAGAAGACTACTGGCTGCTGCGACAGTTTCAAAGCACGCTCCCAAAATTCTTACACATGCTTTTCACCTTAGGTGGATCTATGTCCCCTCCTTTTGAGTCTCAGAAGCTCTGCTTTGACCAATAGAATAAAGTAAAAATGATGCTGTGTGGATTGTAAGGTTTGACCAGGAAAAGTGCAACTGGTCCTCATAGGAACTTAGTGTGGGGGAAGAGAGCAGAGAGGAGAGGCCAATCTGGGTTACAGAGCAAGGTCCTGTTTGAAAAGAAAAAAGTGGGGGTGGTTGAACTGATTACTATCTCTGAATATTCTGT